CCTGACTATTTTGAAGCAAGGGGAACCCTTGTACCTATACATGGCTGTTACCGAAATCACTGTAAGTATTGCACTGCTAAGGGAGGAGAATTCAATCCAACAGCCCATATTCCATGTGAGCAAGAGTCCAATTGAGGTTGAGAAAAGATACCCAGTTGAGAAGCTCGTGTTAGCTTTAGTCATGGCCAAACGGAAACTTCGATAGTACTTCTAGGTGCACAAAATCATCATATTGACAACCTAGCCAACCAAGGCAGTCTTGTCCAAACCAGACCTTTCGGGAAGAGTTTCAAAATGGGTTGTCAAGCTCGGAGCATTCGACATTAGATACCAACCCAGAATAGCCCAAAAGAGTCAGGTAATTTCCAATTTCCTAGTAGAATGCTATGCATATAACAAACAGCAGGGAAACCATGATGAAATCGAGGAAGCTCCAAACAAAGACAAGGCTCAATGAGAGTTGTATGTAGATGGATCATCTAATTAGGCAAGACCAGGAGTGGGAGTCGTCTTCTCATCGCTCGAGGGAGTGAACCTGGAGTACTCGGCGCAATTGGATTTCCCAATTTCAAACAACATGGCAGAATACAAAGCCCTAGTACTATCACTTCAACTTGCCGAGATGCTGAAGGCGAGACGCTTAGTCGTTCATAGAAATTCTCGCCTCATAGTCGGCCAGACAACTGAGGAATACATGACTAAGGATGAATGAATGAGGGCGTATCAACGACTGGTAAAGGATTTAACCAACAAATTTGAAAAGATAACATTGGAACGAATACCAAGAGAGATGGATGGTCGGGCAGATCGCTTGACTTATGTCGTATCGACATCGATGAAGGACATGAGGGTTACCCTGATGGAACTCTTATTGAATCCTAGCATACCAGTCGAACCTGGAGTTATGCAGATTGATATCGAAGAAGAAACATGGCTTTTTATCACAAAACGTCCCTGACGTTTACGAAACTATCAGATTGCATCCTTAAAGTTTTTTTTTTATCACTCATGGTCCCTAACGTTAATATGGGTGCTCTTAAATAGTCCTTCTATAAAAAAAAATGTTAAATCCAGGGATATAATCGTCAAATCAATCCAAAATTATAAAATATATATATTTTATTTCCTTCCCTTCTCTCTTTCTTTCTTCTTCTTTTTCTCTTCTTTTCTTCTTCTTCTCTCTCCGCCACATTCCTTACCTCTTCTCTCTGTGTTTCTCTTTTTTTTTTCCCCTATCCTCTGTCACTCTCCTTTTTCTTCTTTCCTAGCAACGGTCAACTTACTCAACTATTACAAAAGAAGAAAGAAGGCTTGTGATTATTTTATTGAATATAAATCTTTGAATATTGTAATCAATGATGACAAAACTAAGGCTTGTTTCTCAAGAACATTCGCAGTGGCCGCCTGAGAGCTTTCGCCACACCAAGCTTGAGAGCTAATGTTGCTTTATCCTTCCTTGGATGTCTGAGATTGCAAAATAAAAAGACTCTGGTTTTTTAAATTTGATGCTGTAAATTGGTTTTCTGCTTGGTTTCGAGATTTCCATTAATGTTGCGAATTGTTTTTAAAATCTAGCATATTTGATTTGGCAAAATTTATATTTTCTTACAGTTTTAAAATCTCATTTCAATGTGCTGTATGTTTGGTTTGAATCACCTGTGGTGACAAATCTAAGGCTTGTTTCTCAAGAACATTCGCAGTGGCCGCCTGAGAGCTTTCGCCACACCAAGCTTGAGAGCTAATGTTGCTTTATCCTTCCTTGGATGTCTGAGATTGCAAAATAAAAAGACTCTGGTTTTTTAAATTTGATGCTGTAAATTGGTTTTCTGCTTGGTTTCGAGATTTCCATTAATGTTGCGAATTGTTTTTAAAATCTAGCATATTTGATTTGGCAAAATTTATATTTTCTTACAGTTTTAAAATCTCATTTCAATGTGCTGTATGTTTGGTTTGAATCACCTGTGGTGACAAATCTAAGGCTTGTTTCTCAAGAACATTCGCAGTGGCCGCCTAAGAGCTTTCGCCTTCGCCAGGCTTGAGAGCTTGTGCTGCTTTTATCCTTCCTTGGATGTCTGAGGCTTATTTTCTTATACAATCAATCAAATTGGCATTCTAATTATGTTTCTTGTTTTACATCTACTGTTTTTACAAGTTTGTGTTGCTTTTCAACTGGTGCTGATTAATCACATGAAACAGTCCCTGATTCCTATTTCTACTGGAAATTTTAGCACTGGAGACATTGAAAATAACAACATTTTTAATTTAAAGTAAAGACATTGAGAAGGAGAAGTTAGAATACTTTGATGCTTGGGACAATTGGTGGTTGAACTTGCGAGTTAAAGGCTTCCAT